GGGAAGGGGGAGGGGGCGGCGCGGCGCGCCGGGAGACGGGAGGGGGGAGGGGGCGGCGCGGCGCGCCGGGAGACGGGAGGGGGAGGGGGGCGGGGCGGCGCGCCGGGAGACGGGAGGGGGAGGGGAGGGGGGCGGGGCGGCGCGCCGGGAGACAGGAGGAGGAGGGAGGCGGGGCGGCGCGCCGGGAGAGGGCCGGGAAGAGAGAACCGCTGGGCTCTGGGGACCAGCGGGGGCCGTGCCGAGGCAGCACCAGTGCACGCGGCCTGGCGGCACAGAGCGCAGTCGCAGCTCTCCGCCCGGCGGACAAGTGAGAGTACGGGGCCCCGGGGGGCCGGAACCTCGCGCAGACGCCTGGAGCTTCGCTTCCGAAGGCGGAGGGCTGAGTCCTTCCGCTGCTTCTCCGGGGCCTGCGCTGCCCGCAGTGTGAGTGCCTTCCCTCGTCGGGGTGCGGGGGCTTGGGGCGGGGGCACTTTCCGGGGCGCTGCTGGCCGCACCGCGGGCCATTTACCGTTTCGACCCTGGGATTGTACTTAACCTCTTACCGCGTGCTAGGTCCGGATTGTACTTACCTCTTACCGCGTGCTAGGTCCGGTTATAAGTGCTTAGCGGAATCGTCTCCTTTAATGGGCCCTCTGTCTTAGGAGGTCCGTGGTGTGATTACCCTCGTGTTAAAAATGAAACAGGGCAGTCCAGGGTCAGTTTGGACAGGGGCTTCCATCATTTAGGCCTGCGGGACACCGGCCAGGGCTATGCTGGTCGCAGGGAGCCGCCTGTTTTGGCTCATGGCAGTCTGTAGCAGATCCTAGAAAAATAATCTTAAGCCTTTTGTCTTAATGAGAATATTAGCTAAAGAAGCACATGAAAAGGAATATGTATTAAACGAGACATCGGCTAGCAGTGCTATTTATAGTTGGGGGGAAACAAATACCTCAGGTGCCCAGGAAGACAAACGGTCACAAATGGGCATGCGTACATAGTGAGATGTTGTTTAGCTGTTGGAATAACTGGCTCCAGGGCCTGTCTACATGGAAAGAGGTATTGGAAATGTTAACCTTAAAAATAAAAGTGACCGTTATTTAACCAGCAAAAAAGGGGGCGGTTTTTTTGGGAATTGCAATCTGGGACAGGCAAGCTTAGGTAAAGCCATAGGTAAGTGCCCAGAAGAAAGGGGAGGAACGCTGGGAGAGGGGTGGTTGGGAAGCCTGTAATAACCAAAAAGTCCATTGGAGTAAAAAAGCCGGAGTTCCAAGTATACTGGCTTCTCATTGGGCTGAGTTTGACTGCCTCCCATTGGCTGGGCTGTTGCTGGGGCAGGAGGAAACCTTTCTACCTCCTGCTGCGACAGGCGGTGCAAAGTGCATTTGTCACTTCCTCTGGGGGCTGCAGTTGACCCCCCCATAAGTGTGCAAGAGCTACTCCTGCTGGCCTCCGACTCCACTCTAAGTGACTTTTCCTTTTATTAATTTTCGCAGAAATCAAATGACAACATTATAAAGTAGTTTCTGCGTGCTGATTAGGTTGAAATAATATGATAAAAATATCAGAGCCCGTTTGGTGTGACATACATTATTTAATAACCTGTTGACCTAAAAAAAAACAAAAAAAGCCAGTTATTTTACCAGCAAAATGAGTGTATTTGGGAATAGCAGAGGAATTGCAATTTGGGACCTGCAGGCTACGGCAAACCATAGACCAGTCTGGAGAACAAAGGAGAGGAAAAGAGGAACATTATTTTAAAAAAAAAAAAAAGAGGAAGTTGGGAAGGGCTGCTTTGAACCAAGGTCTGTTGAGCCTGTTGGAGGAAAGCAAGAGTTCAGGGTGGTGATGGTTTCTGGTGGGCTGAGTTGTGATAGTTTGTCACTCACTTCTACCTGCTGGGGTTGTAAAATGACCTGTTCAGGAATGTGAGGTAAGATGTGAGGGAAAGTGTGTGGGTGAGAGGTCCCCCTACAGGGTGTCCTGACTCCACTTCAAATGAGATTTCCCTTTATCAACTTCCACACACCACGTGGTTCCTTTTTCTTATTGAGCTGGGCAAGTGCCTCCTTCCTAACAAAACTTGGCTGTGCAGCAGGTTGTTAGGGAAGGTGGGGTTGGGGGGGGACAGCTAGTAAAGAGCCTGGCTTGGAGTCTTTCTCTGATTTTGGACAAATCGTTCATGTCTTGGGCCTGTGTCTTACTTTGTACAAATAGAATGGACGAGATGTGGAGTCACAAACTCAAATGCCTCAGGTGGCCGGGTGTGTGATGTAAATCCATAAACTGGGCCAAGCCAAACAGCAGGGAACGGTGAGGCGTGGGGCTGCAAAAGAATGCATTTCTTGTCGTGGGCATTAAAACTAAAGCATTTTATCCGAACCAAAATGGAATCTCAGGATAAGGTGTTCCCGGAGCCCGCAGTGACACTGATAACCTTTTTAAAAGGTAATCAGATCCTATCATTCTCCTGCTTAAGATGCTCCAGTGGCTCTCTGTCAGGCTTAGAATAGGGTCCTTGCATTGTCCTACAGACCCCACCCCACCTCTCTGACCACCATCCCACTCTTTTTTTTTTTTTTTTAAACCACAGGCCAGTCAAACAGGCTTTCTTGAACACTCCAGGCCAGTTCCTTCCTCAGGCCTCCTACTTGCCATTGCCTCTGCCTGAACCTCTGATCTTTGCATGACTGGGTCTATATCATTCACATCCCTGTTCCCGAGATACTTTCCTGGACTATCAGATGTACCCCTGGCCATTTTAGTCACAAAAGTACTTTATTTTCTTATCACTATCACTATTACTTAGCGTTATTATTAGTACTTAGTCACTATCTAGAATGTTATGGTTGCCTTCTTTGCCAGCTGGTTTTGTCTGCCTAGCCCCCGGCCGAGAGTATAAAGTTCCATTCTAGCCTGTCTTGTTCACCACTGTGGCCTCCCCACCTGGCCACAGTACCTGGCCAGAGGGTGAGTCCTCCTGCGCAAGCCGGTGACCCAGCTAAATGAAGGCATAGATTGGAATTGTGTCCCATTCACCGCTGTTCGTGGAGAGTCAACTCCACACGGCTTAACCACAGTTCAGAGGTCGCTCTCCCATATAAAGAAGTCTGAAGGTTGGCAATTCAGAACCATCTCACAGCTCCAGGGAAGCATCAGGAATCCAGGTTCCTTTTGTATTTGTGCTCTACCATCCTTAGTCCAGAGCTTCTACCCCCGTGATAACAAAATGACTGACCGAGCCCTAGCTATCATTCCACAGTGCAGCTCGGAGGAAGGCCAGCGGCAGGGGCTGAAATGGTACCTCCACCCTCCTCACACCCTACCCACCCCCAGGTCAGCCCTTAAGGATATGTCCTAGGAGCCACACGTAATGACTTCTGCTTCACCTCTTTGGTCACCCCTGAGTGGAAGACTGGGAAATGGAGGGATTAGCTGCGCACACTGACACCTGAATAAATTCAGGGACTGTTCATAAAAAACAAGAGGGGATGTTGGGTAGCCAAAGAGGCAGATTCCTAACTGTTCAGTCAGTAGTCAACTTAAGCAAATGGGCAGGATTTAAACTCACATTTGAGGTATGATGGTGTTTGGAGTTCCAACCGTCTGTCTGACGAGAACTGTTTGTGCCCTCTCCAGTTTAAGTGTCCTGCCTGCCCTCAACTCACCTCTAGCCACAATTATGTAAACCTCTTTTTCTTTCTTCCTTGGGACACCCAGCCTGGGCCAGAGCCCATTCCCCTGCAGCCCACCCTCATTTCTTGGCAGTATTCTGCATACCTTAGCCCTGTACCTGGGGCTCCCGGACAGCTGGAGGTATGGAGGGCCCAGGAAGAAGCTAATTCAGGCTCTGCTCCAGATTCCAGTCATGGCCATGGATAAGCCTGATTTCTGTCTCTGTTCTTCTTGTTATCCAATAAAGATGCACTGATAGATGTTAAAGTTGTCATTTGGATACAAAGGGCATCATACAGCATCTCCACACTGACCCTGAGTCACAGGCTCTGGGCTGTTTTTTTTCTGGCAGAGGAAGCAGGTCTGTTAGAGGTACCTTGTCTCTCCCAGAGTGGAGCAAATTTCAGAGTTGGCTAGCCAGCAGTGAGGATTCAGGCTTCTCTTGTGCCTTTGAGGCCTTCTCGGGAAAACGAACATTTTTCCAGAGCCTTATTAATGTGCAGGCCACCATATGTATGTCTTGTCTGTCTTGTTCTTCTCAGCCATGCTGGGATTTGCAGACTGCAGTAGACATGGTAACTGAATTTCTTACCAACACTCCTGACCTTTGTCTCTTCAGCTGTATTGGGGGCAGAGTGAAGCATGGAAACGTGGGAGAGGGAGGAAGGACACAGATGCATGTTTCCTGCTTATCTCATTTTCTAGGACTTCTTCATTTTGGCTGCCTTCGTGGCAGGTTCTGAGTCCTTTCAAAAAAAAAAAAAAAAAGTCTTGGTTTTGGCAACCTGCCTGATTTGTCCTCTGAGGCTTAAATCTCCAAATGGTTCCTTGCCCCTCAAAGCTTTTTTCAGACATGTCTGCATATCCTTCCTGAGGCCTGCAGTTGGTACATTGGCCTCACCACCACATCTCCCCCCTTCCTTCAAGTGTTTGTGTTCTCTTCCAGATTGTTGGCGTTGCTGAGGAGAGTGACCACAGCTGAAAGCCTGCAGCTCGCCACGCTGAATCCTGTGCCCATGATTAACAGCAGACCCTCCCTTTGGTAGTAGTCAGAAGGGAAGAATCCATCTTCTTAGAACATGGCAGGTGACTGTTACCTATGGGGAAGATAAACTTTTCTAAATAAAAATTTTAGTTAGAAATTAAATATGTTATAAAAACCCAAACAACACTGGACTGTATTAAAACTTGTTTTTAACATGAATCACTATTTGGAATTATCTTATTTTGTATTTTCTTACTTGTTTTATTGTCCATTTCAACCTCACCAGGTTATAAGTTCCTCAAAAGTGAGCCATGCGTATCTTTTTTGCTCTGCTTCTAGTTTCTGGTATGATACCCAGGCTATAGTAGTGCTCCATAAATATTTCTTGAGTGAATAAGCCCCAGGAGTAACTGTGGTTTAAAATTCAGCATGACTTGGGGCGCCTGGGTGGCTCAGTCTTTAAGCGTCTGCCTTCGGCTCAAGTCATGGTCCCAGGGTCCTGGGATCAAGCCCCGCGTTGGGCTTCCCTGCTCAGCGGGAAGCCTGCTTCTCCCTCTCCCACTCCCCTTGCTTGTGTTCCCTCTCTTGCTATGTCTCTATCTGTCAAATAAAAAATCTTAAAAAAAGAAAAATTCAGTACGACTCGGGGCACCTGGGTGGCTCAGTCAGTTAAGCGTCTGCCTTCAGCTCAGGTCATGATCTCAGGGTCCTGGGATTGAGCCCCACATCGGGCTCCGTGCTCAGCTGGGAGTCTGCTTCTCCCTCCCCCTCTGCTGCTCCCCCTGATTGTGTGTGCTTCTCTCTCTGTCAAGTAAATAGAATCTTTAAAAAAATAAAATTCAGGGCGCCTGGGTGGCTCAGTCGGTTAAGCATCTGCCTTCGGCTCAGGTCATGATGCTGGAGTCCCAGAATCGAGTCCCATATCGGGCTCCCTGCTCAGCAGTGAGTCTGCTTCTCCCTCTGACCCTCTTCCCTCTCGTGCTCTCTATCTCTCATTCTCTCTCTCTCAAATAAATGAATAAAATCTTTTAAAAAAATAAAAATAAAAAAATAAAATTCAGGGGCGCCTGGGTGGCTCAGTCGTTAAGCGTCTGCCTTCAGCTCGGGTCATGATTCCGGAGTCCTGGGATCGAGCCCCGCATTGGGCTCCATGTTCAGCAGGAAGCCTGCTTCTCCCTCTCCCACTCCCCCTGCTTGTGTTCCCTCTCTCACAAACTGTTTCTCTCTCTGTCAAATAAATAAAATATTTTAAAAAAATAAATAAAATTCAGTATGACTCAATTTTTACTCTTGTCCCTGTTCTACATATACACAAACACACACAAACACACACCCCATGCTGCAACTTTTTTTCCTCTCAAAAATATGGCATAAAAATTGTTTCATTTCAGAATATAAAAGTCCACCTTATTTTACACAGTATGCTGTAGGGCTTCTCTGAACCTCAGCACTAATGATATCCTGGGCCAGTAATCCTTTGGTGTGGTGTGTCCTATTCGGTGCAAGATGTCTAGCAGCACTTCTGGTATCTGTCTACCAGATGCCAGCAACACCCTCTCCCTAGCTGTGACACCCCAGAGTGTCTCCAGACATTTTGAGCTGTCCCCGTGGGAGGCGACACTGCCCCCACCTGAGAACCACCGATGTAGATGTTTCATTTGTGTCCATTGGTAGATTTCCTGTGTCACCAATGAGTCTGAGAAGTTAAAATAAAAATGTTAACCCTTAACCTAAGCCACTGAATCCAACCTTTACATCCAGTTGAGTGCCCAAAACTGTTTGCTTCAAACGAACATTGGTATTTCCTCCTTAGGGGCCTAAAATGAAAAATTAAAATCAAGAGTTCAAACATTTTAGTCTTAGACATTATTACTAAGGGCGAATTTAAGCAGATGACCAAAGCTGCCTCCCAGAAGAAATCAGTACGTGATCTTCCAGAATCTTCTGAACGAGGGAAATGTTACTTCAGAAGCTGTTGGTATTAATGGCACAGCCAGGTCCTGTAAGACCTGACTCTTAGAATTTCTTTGTCATCAGCCTTGCCACGCAAAGCGGGGCTCCATCTAGGCCCTGCCAACCCCCCGGATTAGGGGTCTGATTTTCCCTATCTTGTTTACTTGTCCCATTTCAATGGGCCTGGAGGAGGAGGCAAAGATGTATGTCCCGTACCTGATGCCTGCCAAAGTAGGGTTAGCAGGAGAGATTAGTTACGGTAGCTTTCAATTTCGATGTTCGTCAACAGGGCAGAAACCTCTGATAGAGAATATCCACGATAGCTTGGGCTTTTCAAGAAATTCGTGGTGTTATTTTTGAGGAATCATTTGACCCATTTTACATTTGTGCATTAGTAAACTCAGGCAACAATGAGCTATGTTATAACTGGATTTTTAGGAACATTCATTACGTTAAAACTGTCACCCATGACAAAGGGTGGTATTTCTTAGCTTGAGCCTATGATGCACCTACGCATTTCGTTGTTATCTTAGTCTTCATGGAATTTTGACAAAGAGGAATTGTTCTTCAAGAGACATCATTTATTTTCTGATACAGGCAAGAAAGTGCTCATTGTCTATGCTCACCAAGAACCCAGGTCTATCAACGGCTCCTTGAAGAAAGTGGCAATGGAAGAGCTCAGCAGACAGGGCTGCACCATCACCGTGTCTGACCTGTACGCCATGGACTTCGAGCCGCGGGCCACCAGGAAAGATGTCATCGGTGAGTTGTGGGCTAAACGGTTGCGTTTTTGTTTTTTTTTTTACTTTTTTAAAGATTTTATTTATTTACTTGAGGGAGAGACAGAGCATGAGCGGGGTGAAGGGCAGAGGGTGAAGCAGACTCCCCGCTGAGCAGGGACCCCCCGCCCAACGACAAGGGGCTCTATCCCAGGACCCCGGGATCAGGACCTGAGCTGAAGCCAGACACTTAACCGACTGAGCCACCCAAGTGCTCCTGGTTTTTTAACTTTCTTCTTTCTAGTTTTTTAATGGAAAAAAAGTTATGAAAAAACTCACCATTGCACATGAGACCCAGTTCTCAAGTCGAAGGAGTCCACATGACAAGTCTTTTTCCCATCCCTGTCCCCCAGCCACCCGTGTCCCTGCCTGCAAGGTCACCAGGGTGCTCACTTGTCTCTGTGTCCCTCCAGAGACGTCCGTGCTGTGGAAAGCAATTACGGGCATATTCTCCATTTTCTCTCCTTTGCTTCAAAATGGTAGCCTATTTTACATGTTTTGCACATTGCATTTGTTTTTTACTGCCCAAAGTATTCATTGTGTGGAGGTGTCATAGTTCAAGTAGCCCCTACTGAAGGGCATTTCAGATCATTCCTGATCTTTTCCTATTACAGAGCTGCAAGGAAGAATCATGGCCATGCGTGTTTTCCTACATATGCGGGTGTGTCTAGAGGTGGAATTGCTGGTCAGAGGGAAGGTGCATTTTTGATTTTCATAGATAATATCAAATAGTAAATGGACCAGTTTACACTCGCACCAGCATGTTTGCAAGTGCTCATTTCCTCTGCATGGCCAATTTTTGATAATTGCCAGTCTGTCAGGTGAGAAATGGTCTCCCAGTATAGTTCTGATTTGCCTTTCTCTCACTGTAAGTGAGCTTCACTGTCTTTGTGTTTATGTAAGAAGCATTTTCTTTTTTCCAGCTGCATTAAGACATAATTGACAAAAGTTTATATTTAAGATATATAACATGATGGGGGTTTTTAGTTTTTTCCCCTAGTATTTTTTTTTATTAGTTTCAGAGGTAGAGTTGAGTGATTCATCAGTTGTATATAACACCCAGTGCTCATCACATCCCATGCCCTCCTTAATGCCCATCCCCCAGTTACCCCATCCCCCCCCCCCCATCCCCTCTGGCAACCCTTAGTTTGTTTCCTAAGATTAAGAGTCTCTTATGGTTTGCCTCTCTCTGTTTTTATCTTATTCCATTTTTCCGTGCCTTCCTCTATATTCATCTGTTTTGTTTCTTAAATTCCACATATGAGTGAAATCATATGATAATTGTCTTCTCTGATTGACTTATTTCGCTTAGCATAATCCCCTCCAGTTCCATGCCACCTTCACTGTGATTTAAATTCCCATGTACATTTGATTCTGTTCTATACCTTGTATTCTGTTGGGTTTTTTTTTTTTCTTTTCTATCTGTTACGGATTCAGTACCACATGGCTTTAATTATTTTGGCAAGTGATAGAATATCTCTGTGTTTGCTTTATTTTCTATTTTTTCTAGCTAATTTTACTTTACTTTTCTATAAAATCTTTTGAATTAACTTTCCAGATTCAAAAAGTAACCAGATGATATTTTTATTGAGATTCCATTAAATTTACAGATGAGCTTTTATTATGCTGATGCTACCCAGGAGAATTGGTATGGCTTTTCATTTGCTCACGTCTTCCTTTACAAACCCTGCAACTCTTACAAGTTTTCTTCATACAGATCTTGAATAATTCTTGTGAATTGGTTTTTGTTTCTCTACGTGAAGAGGGTTAATCTCTGTTTGTGTGCCTGTGAGTGTGTGTGTGTACTCAGCCATGCCTGATTTTCTTACTGTTTGTAGTAGATTTCAGCTGATTCTCTGGGGCTTTCCTGACAATCAAATCATCTGCAAATAATGATAATTTCACTTCGGCCTTTCCAGTATTTAATACCTTTAATTTCCTTCTGTTTGTAATTGTGTTTATATATATATATATATATATATGCCAAGGCTTTATTTTGTTAATGATAATCCCAAGGTTTAATATTTAATATTGATGGTAACAGCTGACATCCTGTATCTTCTTGTCTTTCTTCCATTTTAATAAATCAGTCAACAATTTTCACTTAAGAAACAACAGAGCAGGGACTGGGAAAACAGACTCTTATGTTAAGGAGCCACTGGTTTTTAAGTGGATGAGTCTGTTGAAGGACTGTGGATTCAGCTCTCCTTTCGGATCCTCTCCACGTGGCTGGGGGTTTGTCGGCTCCTCTCCAGACCCCGTGTGGTGGGGTGGGGTTCACACCTGCTCCCACCTCTGCTGCTACCAAGACCTCTGTGGTGTTGGCACTTGTCACTCAGCCTCTCTAAAGTCTCGGTTTCCTCTTCGGTAGACTTGGACTTAAACTTACCAGTTGCTATAAAGATAGAAGAGGTGATGTGTGATGGAACACAGCACCTGATAGGTAGGAGGTCCTCAATAAATGGTAAGCTATTATTAATACTGATTAATGCCTTTGATGAATCCTTTTGGTTGATAAGATCCCAATGGACGGTATAGATCAAAATAACTTCTCTTTCGTTTTAGTTGCCGTGGGCAGTGCTGTAAGTTCTAGCCCAATCCCCCGCCTCCCACCACCCACTGCTGCTGCCTGACTGAGCCCGTCCCCCCACACGCTTGCTCTCGAATCCCTGCTGCTACAGTGAGCTCGTCCACACCCACTTCAGAGCATTTATGTACTTCCCTGCATATGCCACATGGCTCACTACACGCAGGAAAAATTCAAGCTCCTTAAGAAGGCTTACAAGACCTGGCCCATCTCTCTACTCACATCACCTGCAGCCCTCCTGGCCTTTCACCCATTGCCCTGGAGGCGCTCCTAGTAGCCCTTTCCTGGGTGGCCTGTTGTCGGACACCCAGCCTTCTCTGTGTCTTACGCCCAGAATATCCTGTCTCTTCTCTCCAAGGCTCCAGGTGGCCTGGTGAACTCCCGATCCATCTTCAAAGCCTGGTTTACAAAGCTCATTACTAACCCAAACAAGCAGAGCCAGGCACTGCTGTACTGAGTTAGACCACAAGCATCTTGATTGTAAGACAGGAGGCTTATCTGGCCGTAACATCAGACTGAGCTACCTACCTATTGTTTTGTATGTTAATCATTTGATTATTTATCTACTCTTACTGGACTTTGAGTCCCTCCGAAGGTGAGAACAGTAGCTTCCTCTCTTTTTATTACCATGGCCTGACCCCAGGGCCCAACACCTGGTGGGGTCTCAGTGAATGGGGACTTTAGGGAGTCCAGGTAACGGGGATGCTAGTGAGATTGGCCAGGATGGGCTGTGGGTGCACATGTGAGAGTGTGAACATTTGGCCTGTTCTTCTCCAGGTGCTCTCTCTAATCCCGAGTTCTTCAACTATGGGGTGGAAGTATATGAAGCCTTTAAGAAGAGGTCTCTGGCCAGTGACATAACTGACGAACAGAAAAAGGTTCAGGAAGCTGATCTAGTGATATTTCAGGTTTGTTTTGCCTCTAATTATTATAACAAATTAGATTTATTCCATGTACAAGCTCCTTCCAAATACTGAGTCGCACACTTCTAGAAATGGTGTTAATGTTAGCACATTTGCACGCTTATTTGTGTCTAGTTGGGTAAGGAGATCTGTGTAGCCAATATTCATTCAAAATTCTGACTCCCAAGCAAATAATAAGGAATTCTCCATTAGCCCAGCAGTCCAAGAAACATCTGCATCATGCCCAGGGGATTGCCTTCATTTCTTTCTGATCCACACCCCACATAGGCAGAGGCTGCGTGAAAACCAGATTTGTCCACATGAGTGTTTATCAGGGGTACTTGGGCTAAATGTAACTCCTGCCCTAAATATCCTAATCAGAGAGGAAAGTCTTCTTTTGATTCCTTCCTGTCACTGGTTGAGTCCCCAGCCCACCTTCTGTGCACTCATTCACAAGTTGCCCCAGGCCAGGACTCCCTGTGGAGAGAACTGGTCCAGGACCCTGCTTCTGTGGGCTCTAGCCCTAGCTAGACAGGCATGTGTACCCACAGAGGAAATCGTGAGCCTGGCAGCAAAATAAACATGTGCTTTTGGGGAGCTGTTGGGTTGACAGAAATCCAAGTCAACTAGAAAAAAGGGATTTATTCTCAGGGCCCTGGTCCCTTGGGTCTCCTGAAGCCAAGGACAGGCTGGTTGGGCTTCAGGGACCGTGGAACCAGAGGCTTGGACCCCTCGGCCCTCTCCCTCTGATTCTCCTCTGCTGCTCCCTGCATGCCGGCTCTGTCCTATTGCTGCGCACCAGGGCCTGGGGGCTCTAGATCTGGAACCTCCAAGATGGATCCGATTGGTCCCGATTGTCTCTGTTTCCAACAGGGCGTGAAGACAGGGAGAAGGTGAGAGAACAAGACCCCCACGTGTGGGAGAGGGGTGAGGATGCCACCAGTCTCCCAGTGAAACAACGTGTCCAGAAGGGAAAGTTCACGAACCCTTCATAAAATAACCCTACCCCTTTGGGCGGAGGGAATGCTTCAGTCCTCCTCTTCTGCCCCACCCAGGCTACCTCTAGACACCCCTTCCCGTTCCTTTCTTTCCCAGGCGACCTGGAGCTGCTATCTGATCAGAGTACGAGATGTTCTTCCATCCTAATTCCACGTGGCTGGATCACGGTGCCACAGAGCTCACTCGCCACGTGCTTTGTCATCCACAGAATAATAGCCACACCAGGACAGTGGGGCTGTATCAAAACTGGCCAGCAGTCTGGGTCCGTGGTCCAAGCAGAGCCATACTTGGCTCTCTCGATCTTCTCTTCCTGCCCCTTGGGGCAGGTGACCACAGGGAGCCCGGCTGTCCATTCTCCTTGCTCCTGCACTCTTGCAGCTGGAGAGCTAAAGCAAGCCAAGGCGTGTTCCTTCTGTAATGGTCTTTCTTTTTCCCTACTCCATCTCACATCTCTTTTCCCACCGCCTTCCCTCTTTTCCTGGTACTTTGCTCAGAGGGTCTGCATTATAAGTTTATTGTTTTTCATTCAACACTAAAAAGAACTTCATTCCTCACTACTACTTAGTCGTGATCACTGCTCCCCATCACTCACTGAGCATTTACTCTGTTCTAAGCACTGTATTGTCATGGAATCCTCCCCACGATACTGTGACCTAGTAACTTGTACTAGCCCTAATGGCAGATCAGGAAGAGGGGACACAGAGAGGTTAAGTAACTTGCCAGCATCACACAGCAGTGGGTTGTGGAGCTTAAATTTCAATGCCAAGTCCTGTGTTAGATTTATAGCAAAAGCACATGAAACATGGGCTTCCTTCTGCCTTTGGTAACAGTATTATCGGTGTTCATCTCCTATCATTGATGATGGTTCTGGATATAGTGTTAGGGCTTCTGTGGAGACCAGAGTAGACTTTAGGTAGATCTTATTGCTGATGTGTGCAATCTGAGGATAAGGCTTTAGTTTGTGTCAGAATCTGGAGCTTCTCAGAACTTAACTCAGTCTGACGTCCAGAAGGCAGCAATTCACGCCCGAGAAAGGGGCAAAATCTTTTCCACACCCTTCCTCTTGTGCCCCTTGATTGGATCAGTCACAGGGACTGCTGCCGCTGAGCCAATGTCCAGCAGAACTTCCTAGCACCCGCCCCCCACACCTGCTCAAGGACCAGCCTAAGGGGGCCGTCCCTGGGGGACACAGAGCCACCTGTAATGGCAACCAGGACCATGGTCAGCTCTGCCCCCTCACCCCACCATCACCCTGTCCACACTGCATGTCCCTGCTCGTGCCACTCCCCGGCTATACTCGCCTGCCCAGCACCTGGGAAGAGGAAGACAGTGGGATTCCTTCTGGATCAGCAGATCTGCAACCTGAGGCAGCCCGCAGCATCTGTCTCTCCCTGGTCTTATGTCCCCAGTTCCCGCTGTACTGGTTCGGCATGCCGGCTATCCTGAAGGGTTGGATGGACAGGGTACTGTGTCAGGGCTTTGCCTTTGACATCCCAGGATTCTACGATTCCGGTTTTCTCAAGGTACGTACCCTGGGATAAGGATCCCTGTGTACTGGCGGGGGGCAGCTCCTCGAGTCCTATTTGTAGTTTGCTTTTTTATCAGCAAATAATGATTGAGCCACCAACTGTGTGCAAAGCCCCGTGTGCTGTACTTGGTTAAGAAAAGCATTGTTTCTGAGGTCACGGGGCTTTTGTCTGGTGAGGGAGATAGATGCATCCACCACAAACTACACGAGTGGCCAAGAAGGGCATGGAGTTGGTGTTGCGGGAGGGCTGCACTGGGCCCCCACAGTGTCCGCTCCGGCTCGGGAGAGGGCGTCTGCACTGTGACGCAGAATTGAGCCATGGTCTCACACCACTTCACCTCGCAGCTTCATGTTCCTCCTTGAAAAACAGGATGACTTGCGTGTTGCAGGGTGAGTGTTGCACGGAACCCGGTGGGTGCGCTGTGCACAGTAGCTCTGAGTTGCTTACTAAGTTCATTCCTTACTGAAATAAATAATGTCTTAATTCTGAAAGCCTCAGAAAATAAGTACACGTAAGGAAACCGTAGAGTCACACAGTCCGTCGTGGATGGTGAAGTAAGGCCACCATTCCGTGAGAATGGTCCTGGACCAGGGGCCGTGCACTGCCTCGGTCGCCCTCACAGCAGCCCCGGCCGTCGGCACCCGGCACCACACCCTGCTCTCTACCAGAAGTTGGGGCGCCCCGGAGCCCCGTGTTCACTCAGGCCAGTCCCTTCCCTGTCCCCGCCAGCTGTGGCTGCCCCCTGGGGCCGGGCGTGCCGAAGGAGAGTGTTCTCACGTGTCCATCTCTGGAGGGACTGATCTCAGACTCTCCCCCCTGGTTGGTCTAAAGCTTCGGGCCGGAGTCACATGGATTTGTTTGCTCCTCCGCAGAATAAATTCGCCCTCCTCTCGTTAACCACGGGGAGCACAGCCGAGATGTACACGAGAACCGGAATCAGCGGAGATTTCCGGTACTTCCTGTGGCCCCTCCAGGTACCCCCGGCACCCCCCACCCCCTCCGCTACCCCTGCAGCTCCCCCGGGTGTCAAATAAGATGTGATGTAAGCCTGAAACCCAGACTATTTTGACTCCACCTGAATACAAGAAGTTAGAACGTTTTGCCCTTTCAGATGCCTTACTTAGCACTGAAAAAGTGGGCCAATAGGGAAAACACATATTTATTATAATGATAGCCTTTGAATTTGTTGCGTGGAAGCTAAGCCGAACCTGGTTAGCGGACATCTGCTCCGTGGTGGCCGTGCGTGTGTGCCGAGCACCAGGGACCCCGTCCACACTGACTGGCAGCGCTTGGTGAAGGCGGCATCCCGAACCCTGGCAAGAGGTGCCCCAGAACCAGGAGTCCAGATAGTCTCACACCTCCCACAGGTGATGGGTTCTGGGAGCCAGGGGCTGTGCCCGGTCCCCAGAGCCCACACCCCTCCCCGGGTTCCCAGGACTCTGGGTCTGCTCTCTCAGGTAGACACCGTACTGCCTCTGCGCACCCCTGGGCCATCTGTGAAGGGGACAGCAGGGGGGCAAAGCATATGCAAGCAGGCTGGGGTGCCCCCGTGTGAGGCACCCCTTGCTGAGGGACCGAGCTGGGGGTCGGGGCAAAGGGAGCAGGCTCTGGGTCAGGCGGCCACATACTGGCTCCGAGCTTCCAGGAGACTCAGAAACCTAGATGCAAACCATTCTTCCAGGCTGTTATGAAGGGACATTTGTCCAGGGAGGAGATCACATATTCAGCAGTTTGTGAGCTTGCTTTAAAGATACAGACAGTGACCCCTCGTAGGGCAAGCCTGGACAGAGGTATGGGTTTTAAGGGAAGGAGTGCAGAGAGGGGAGGGTGATACTTGTAGTAAGGTTGTCTTTGAAAGGATAGTGATTCAATTTAGTGATGTTCTGCGGGAGAAAGAGTGATAACTTACAGGCCTGAACTTCCCTTGCCCCAGGTCAACTAGTCTCTTAGGGGTCATGAGCCAAGCTTAAGTTCTTCTGGTTTTTTAAAAATCTTTATATATTCTTTTCAGTTTTCAGAAGTATATATTATGAAAAAAGAATATATAAAATATAAAAATAGAAAGTCTTCTTAGTCCCCCCTTAAAAATAATTGCTTTTAATAATTTGATGTATTTCCTTATGGCCCAGACGTATTTTTATATGTATATTTTTTATTATTAGGGTTATTATGTTTGTTTTTACATAAATGGTGTACCACGAATACTGCTTCATATTTCTTGTTATTTTTACTTGACACATCTTGAACAACCATACGTGGATATACATATACTATAGCTGGAATAATGTCACATTGTTCTAGAATAATCCATTGTATGAATCTACCATAATTTGCCTAATCAATCAAAACTGTAAGGTTTACTGTCTGAATCAGAAGTGAAGATTACAGATGAATTTCAGTTAAGATCTGAAGTTTCCAGTTACCTGAAGTTCTTCATCTCACTTGTCAAGGCCCGCATCTTAAGGTTATAGGGCAGTTCAGTTGTCTTCGGTGACCTAGTAGCAGTGAAGTTGTTCTTTTATTTTTTGAAGGCTTATTTCAGGCCATTTCCCCCCTTTAGTTGTTTACCTGAATGACAGAAAGGATGTGGCTTCTAATCAGCTCTCTGCTTTTTCTGTGGCTGCAGCATGGGGCACTGCACTTTTGTGGATTTAAAATCCTCGCCCCTCAGATGAGTTTTGCTCCTGAGATTGCCTCAGAAGAAGAGAGGAAGGCTATGGTGGCGTCCTGGGCCCAGCGGCTGAAAACCATCTGGGAGGAAGAGCCCATCGACTGCACGCCTCCTTGGTACTTCGGGCAATAACACTTCGCGCATTATCCACGGCACAGGCACTGCCTGCACATGCAAAGAGATGATCCCGTAATAAAAGGAAATTACAACAGAGTGAGCTGGAGGTAGTTAATGTCGGGTAGGACCGGGTGTCCTACAGCCGATCCAGCATTTCAGCTGTCCGCTGGTTACCCGGAATTCTGTTCCAACGAGGCCATTATTCACCCGGGCTTGCTTTTCTCTTCTGATGTCTTTCCATCTCCCTGTGTTCAACCTTTGTGGGTATCTTGTTCTCAAACAGTTCTCCTGGTGTGGCATAGTTTTTTCCTTTTGTTTTATTTCATAACTCAACTTGGGAATTTCTGTTTTTTCATAGGAAGTTTGAATATTTGATAGCCAGTGTTGTAGTGCTGTGTTTGGACTTCTTTCTTCCATCTCTCTCTCTTTTTTTTTTTTGTACGTGCATGCATGATGGCTTTGAAGTTAATCTATTTGTAAAGTCGCTGCATGGAGGTTACCGTGAAAGTCTCCCAGCGTCACTCTGATGCGTTCACATGACACTACCAGTAATTACCCTGAGTGGAGGCACCTGTAGCAGGAGGGGTCTCCCTGAAATCAGGTTTAAGAGATTAAATCTCCTCCTCCTCCTCAATCATCACTTCCGAGGATGGAGCCACTGCCTGCGCACAGGGACCATCCTTCCTTAACGTCCCCAGTGCCACCCACAGTCCCCTTGTCGGACTGGCCACACAGCTTGTACCTGGACTCTGCTCATCACACTCCTTCGAGCTGGCACCCTCATCCTTGAGCAGCCTGTCCCCTGCTCCGCCACCGCCTCCCTCTTCCTCAGCATCTCCAAACCCTTTTCCATCTGCCTTTTCTTCCTCCTGTTTTCCACCTGGTGCGTAATCACACACTTTCCTGTGTGCATCTCCTTCCTCCTCATCTGAATCCCCACGGCCTTCCCCACCAGACACTCCCTCAGAGCCACCATCCGCAGATGCTCAGCTTTCAGGACTGTTCCTTCCTCTTTTTTTTCAACACCATTTTCCTCCAGTTATTTTGTTGGAGCCCTCTTCAAAATCCTTTTCAGAGCAATCTTCCGATTCTCTTTCCAAGATGTCTTCCTTTTCAGGTTTTCAGGGTCACCTTCAGACTTTTTTCAAATTCTTCAGTCTTTTTTGAGGTATTCTTTCGAGACCGTGATTGGAACTGCCTTCTTCAGATTCTTTTGGGACCGCGTTCTTTAGCATTTTTTTCAGAAGCATCTTCAAAATCTCCCCATCTTCTCATTTTTCAAATATCTTTCCATGTCTGGATTCTTTACATGCCATGTTAGTTGTGGCTTCTTGAGCATTCATCCTAGATGTGCTCGGGTGCTCTGGAAATGCCTTACTTTAGAAAGCCTTGCCTTTTGGAGCAAAGATGGAAGTTGAACACAGAATGCCTCCTTGGCCTCAGGACACTGAAGAAAGACTTCCCTTCTCTCAGCCGTTCCTCCCTCCCTCTTGGGGTCTTCTCAGCCTGGCCATCTGTAGTCCCACCCCATGTTTCGACAGGGATTCAGTGGCCACCAACACACCTTCCATCGAAGGTTTGAGTGCACAGATAGTTTCCTCAAGACATCTGGGTGTCTCTCTAAGAGAAGGAGCTTCCTGACTGGCCCAAGCTTTGAACAGTCTCCAAAGTCTTCTCCTACCTTGATCAGCACCAGCTCAAAATCCATGGGATGAAACATTTTGGTAATGAGCACTCCCCCTTGGGGCATTCCACAAGCATTCCAACAGTCCAACTGCTTTTATTACAGAGCCAGCCCCTACCTGTAGTGCCCCCTCTTCGAAGACCCTTCCGTTGAAACTGAGCTACCTCACTATGCGATTTCTAGCTTCTAATTTCATCTTCATCCAAAAGCATTATTGCACAATCCAGAGTCCCTCTTCAAATAACTGCAAAGCCCATCTGCTTTAAGATTCCCTTGGTTTATCTTTGTAAAACTTGACCATAAATTCTGTCTGGGGATCTCATAATCATGCAAAATTAGAAGCTGTATAAAGGCCTCCGCTATGATGTCAGTAGGCAAACCAGTTGCATTTACATTTGTAGTTCTGTCTTCAACGTGAAGCCTTCCTTTTATCTCCTCTTTTCAAGATCAGTGGGTTTGAGGCTCTTTTCTGCAGAGTTTCTTAGCATTGCCGGCACCTCTCGTATGTTGGCCACGGACCAGATGTGCCAGTGCTGAGAAGCTGTACGTGGCCCGATGCGTGGTGATCTCACACCTGCCACCTTGCCCAGGTGCCAGCCGGCCGCTGCCCGGAAGATTGGCTTTCTCCACTGGGATTCTTGCTGTCTCTGTACAGTTCATTCACAGTTGCTCATTTGCAGATTCCTCAGCCAAGTACACTTGACCTGTGAACGACATGGGCTTGAACTGCAGTCCATTTACACGTAGATTTTTTTTTCCATAAGTACATTGGAAAAATTTGGGGGGAGTTCCAACAATTTGCAAAAACTCCCAGGTGAACCCTGTAGCCTAGAAATGCTGAAAATTTTAAGAAAAATATATTATTGTAAGAATACAGTAAATGCATATAGAAAATATGTGTTAATGGACTTTATATGTTATCAGTAAGGCTTCCGGTCAACAGTAGGCCATTAGTAGTTAAACTTTGTGGGGTCAGGAGTTACACACAGATTTTCTGGGGGTGTGGCTGGTACCCCCAGCCTTGCATTATTCAGCTATCCTTGCTGCCTGAGTTTCCCCGCCTAGCCCAGAGCAGGCTCCAGGCGAGCAAGAAGGGGCTGGCTCGCTCTGCCCCGCCTCAACGCTGCCTGTCAAGGTTCAAGGTCTGGTATGTTTTTTGTTATTTTAGCTGTGCCCGGCTTTCTTTTTTGGCACTATTTCCCCCATCAGACTCTGCCTCTGGAATCTCTCAAAGTTGCTGATCCTTGGATAATTCTACTTGACTGTCTTCTGGCACTTCTCATTCAATATGTCGTCACTGAGTTTGTCCGCCTACCCACACCCCCCTTACCATCCCTTATCTCAATAAGTGGCAGGAACATTCCTCTGATGTCGGGCCCCAAACCTGGGCCTCACCTGGACTACCCACAATCAAGCTTCGTGTCTTGCTGACTCCACCTTCTACCTACGATTCATTTGCCCATTATTTCCATCCACAGTTCTAACATGCTCATCCAGGATACCACCTTTTCTGGCCTGGATTATTGCAAAAACCACCTGGATAATTTTCCCTTATGCATATCTGTCCCTTCCAACCCATTTTCTACAGAATGCTCAGAGCACTCTTTTGAGTGTGCACACACACGCACACACACACAGAGCTTATGCCATTCTTGAGGCCTATTCATCCTTCAGGGGCTTCTCATGGCTCTTAGGAAATGTCCAGAGTCCTTGAGCTGGTCTGTAAGGTACAGCATGTGATTCTGTCTCCTAATTACAGGCTTTCTGGCTACTCTGTCTACATCCCAGCCATACTGGACTTCTCACTCCTCGTCTTGTTGCAGGGGCTGCTCCCTGTGGCGGCAGTGCTCTCCCCATCTCATTGCCCAAGCCACCTCCCATGTCACTTAAGGAAGCCCTCCACAACCCCTCGGATGGAGTTGGATGTCCTGTCCTGTGCCCTGTACTTCTGCCTTAAAAAAAAATTCTCAGTGTGTGGCACCTAGATGGTTCAGTCGGTGAAACGTCCAACTCTTGATTTCGGCTCCGGTCATGATCTCAGGGTGGTGGGATCGTGCCCCACGTTGGGCTCCATGCTGAGCGTGGAGCCTGCTTAAGATTCTCTCCCTCTCCCTTTCCCTCTGCCCGCCCCCCTCATGTGCATGCACGTGCTTGCTCGCTCTCTCAAAAAAATCTCTGTGGTATTGTGTTTACTTGAGAAACACAGGAGGACATTTTCATACACATTTCAAACACTGGAGCCATCTGATTAATGTTTGTCTCCATCACTAGACTGTTGGCTCCATGAAAGCAGTCTTAGACAAGGCTGTGTCAGTGTGGGGAGCCCCTACCCCAGGAGAAATGAGGTCTGCACCCTGCCCAGGGCCCCAGGTTGGATTGCAGGCTGCAGTCTGGCTCTCAGCAAGACCAGCTTCCCCGTGGTGAGTGTGCATCCCTGTGCACACCAGGTAGAAAGAATGCATGGATACCTGACTGGACCACATCGCTCACTCCCCGGTTTCTCTTCTCCTGTGCTTGCTGAAACTGGCCCCTGGCTCTTGATGGGGGTTGTAGTCTGGGGACGACTGGCAGCCCCAGGAGAAATGCCCCAGAGAGCTGTCGTCTTTGTTTTCACTGATGCCTCTGGGATGCATTCAGGCATCATGAACTTGGCTCCTGCTCCCTCATGCCCAGTGGGCTGCTGCTGCCACAAGCGTGCCGGGTGGACAGGGAGCAGTGCCAGCCTTTAGAACCTCATCCTGCAGTCTGCGTGGGGTTGCTGGACTTCAGGATCCCTCAAGGCAGGAAGCAGATGCCACACTGCAGGGTCTCTGAAGTCACCAACTCTAAACGTCAGAGGGTGGATTCTCCAGCCAGGGGATGCTGCCTCTTCCCACAAGGGGGTTAGAGGACCAGAAGTTCAAGGGGAAGACTCCTCGCTGTCTTTCCAGGTTCTCAAAGCCCAACTTCCCTGGGAAAACTTGGCCTCCATATGCCAAGAATGTTAATTCTGCCTTCCAACCAAAATTGTTAGCACTTCGAGGGCCAGGACCTTATTATATAGCTCATTAGCTCCCATAACACTGGGTTCCCTTGGACATTGCTGAGTTTTAAAACCTCATTGCTGAAAGACTTAAAATAAAAACACACTCAGCATCAGCAGGGCAGCGGGAATTGCTAATGAAAGAAAAAACAGGAAATGACCGCAGTCACATCTAAGGTAAGACAACATTTTTCTTAGGAGCGTGGGGCCTGATTTGGATTCGGGAAGGTAGTTCTCTTTGGTCATGCAGAGGTAGGTCCCACACCCAGTTTGGGTGGAGGAAAGAAACTTAACGTTGCTCCATGTAAGAAAAGTGTCAGGGTATTCGGAGTAGTTCTGGCAGCTGGAGAGCATGGGAGAGGGCACTAGGCACAGGTCTCAAGAGGGGAACCTGAAGCCCCAGAAAAGGCAGCAAGATGGGGATGGAGGGGAGAAACAGCGCATGCGCGAGCAGCTGGCCGGTGGGAAGACGGAGGAGCCTACGTGGGGCAGCGTGGCCAGTCCCAGGCTGCTCTGTGGTCATCCCCAACCCGTTTGTCTGTTTGCCCTGAAAGGAAAGTGCTTCTCCAGACAGGACTAGAGGGCTTGAGATCGCTAGGATCGCAGCACCACAAGGGCACGCTGTTGGCTCTACGCTGCTGAGAGCGCCCTGGCAGCAAATAACAGGAGCTAGAAGCACAGCGGAGCTTTGACCAGAAAATTCCACCTACAGGACTGTAGTCTAAGGAAATACACTGAGAGTGAATTTAATTATCTAAATTAAAAGTTTGCTTTTTTAGCAATGCTCTTTATAGTAATGAGTAATAGTTGCTAACATTTATGGATACTTAATATTTGCCAGGGGCTGATATAAATGCTTTACATGTATTATTAGCACCTCTAATCCTCATAACATGCCTATGAGCAAGTACTGTTGCTGTCTCCACCTCACATCTGAGGAAACGAAGGCAAAGTTAGATGAAGACACTTGCCCGAGTGTCACAGCTATAGAGAAGCAGATGTGGGATTTGAACCCAGAGCATCTGGTTCCTCTTTGGAAGCAGCCTAAGTGCCAGGGTAATGATGAAGAACGCCAGGGTCATCCACAGAGCTACTAGGATGGCAGGGGTCACAAACGGTCACCTTTGCCTGTCCCATATCTGTTTCTGTTTTTTCTGTTGGCAACACCCTGATTTTCCTTTGGGAATCATGCCCTTTCACCAAGCCATGTGGTCTCGATAGGGGTGACATCTCAGTACCCAGGAACGTGGTACCTGACTGACCTGATCGATCAGTGTTCCGTGCCCAAGACAAGCCAAGCCAGGCAATGAGATTACACTCAGGAATTCACTGATCTCCTGGGAAACAGGACACTTGTTTTGCTTCTGGACTCAGAACTGTGACCATGTAAATCAGCCAAAGGCCATGACATAGAGAGCATTGGCCTGCAGGTGAAGCCAACACTGAGGGAAGCTCATCTCCGCTGTATACAGAGACAGCTTCCTAATTATATCTTTTGAACACCTGGAACCATCTTTGCCTGAAGCTGAAGTTTCTTCAGTTCTTCAGTCATGCAAAATACATCGCCCCTTTTGCTTACATGGTTTTATAATAATTGCAATTAGTACAATCCTAAAGAATCCAACAAGCATGGTTAGTATCTCCATGAAAATATGAAATACTCCAGGGGAAAGAAAACACAAATTCGTTTTGGAACCTGATTACAATGACATAAGAACATACCTAGAGTCATATAAGATTAGAATAAAATTTATACTAATATATCACATTCTTTTCCTCACCAAATGGGTTAAGTATATATAGTTCCTGATGAACAAAGAAGATGTAGAATCTGCCCTTGTGGAGACCTGAGTGAGGCAGCAGAGGGCAGGACCAAGTCCTGATTCCAGGCCCAGTTCTGCCAGTAACTGACAGAGTAGCCTTGAACAAGCTGATCAAACTATTTGGGCCTTAGTTTCCCCATCTATGAAAAAAGGGGAGTCTGGCTTCCAAAGTTACTCCACCTGCTGTACAAGATTCCAGTAGACCCTCAGTCCTGTCAAATTGTAATCTCTTTTCCCAAGGTTCCAGAAACAGTCTGAAATACTGTCTGGGATCCCCAGTGGTCCTGGGGCTGATCCAGACTCAGACTGGTATGTCTGATTTCTATTTGTCTCTCACTGTTTCTTTCCATAAAGTGGGATGGGTGCTTTGAAATGTAAATCCACTCAGTCATTTGTTTCATTAAAATGTATTAAGGACAAAGCTTATCAGGAATCTGATCCTGTCTCACTTGAATTCCTGAAGCACTGATGGAAGGACTGTATTTTGTCTGATTTCTCCCAGCATGAGCTGGCGGTATGGAAGATAATTATTATTATGTCCATTTTACAGATGCGCAAACTGAGACTTACAAAGATGAAGCAATTTGACTAGGGTCCCACCACTGCAAGGGCAGAGCTGAGACTCAAACCAAAGCAGCCTTTTTCAGACTTTGTGCTCAGAACCACTCCAGTTGGGGAACTCCACCCAGGGGGTCAGAGTTGGGGGAAAAGCAGCACCGAACAGAGGCCATTTTAAAGAAATGACCCTCAAAGACTCCAGAGAGGAGTTCATAGTGGGAAAAGGAGAAGTCTGAGCTGAGGCCTCCTGCTCAATAAAGACCTAATGTTTTGGGGGCCAGGGATCCTTTTGCCAAGTGTCTGGTTGAGGTTGAAAACCCGACCTAGACTTTCATTTCCTGCTCTGTGGCAGATAAGATTTCTGAAGAGCTCTCCTGCAGCAAAACTTCTAGAGGCCAGAAAAATCACAACAAACATACTTTTTTAAAAATTTAAATTCAATTAACATATAATGTATTATTGGTTTTAGCGGCACAGGTCTGTGATTCATCAGTCTTATATAACACCCAGTGCTCACTACAACACATACCCTCCCCAATAACCACTACTTAGTTCCCCCATCCCCCACCCCCCTCCCCTCCAGCAGTTTGTTTCCCAAGATTAAGAGTCTCTTATGGTTTGTCTTCCTCTCTGATTTCGTCTTGTTTCATTTTTTCCTCTCTTCCCCAATGATCCTCTGCCTTGTGTCTTAAACTCCACATATCAGTGAGATCATATGATACATGTCTTTCTCTGATTAACTTATTTCGCTTAGCATAATACCCTCTAGTTCTGTCCATGTCGTTGCAAATGGCAAGATATCATTTTTTGATGGCTGCATGATATTCTGTTGTACATATACACCACATCTTCTTCATCCATTCATCTGTTGACAGACATCTGGGCTCTTTCTATAGTTTGGCTATTGTGGATGTTGCTGCTATAAACATTGGGGTGCAGGTGCCCCTTCTTTTCACTACATCTGTATCTTTGGGGTAAATACCCAGTAGTGCAATTGCTGGGTCATACAGTGGCTCCATTTTCAACTTATTGAGGAACCTCCATACTGTTTTCCAGAGTGGCTGCACCAGCTCGCATTCCCACCAACAGTGTAGGAGGGTTCCTCTTTCTCTGCATCCTCACCAACATCTGTCATTTCCTGATTTGTTAATTTTAGCCATTCTGACTGGTGTGAGGTGCTATCTCATTGTGGTTTTGGTTTGTGTTTCCCTGATGCTGAGTGATACAACAAACACACTTTTAAATGCATTACTGAGATTGTCAGAGACTAAGGGAAATGTTCAAGTGCATCCCCAGCCCTTTCTATCCCTACCCCCACCCACCAACCTTGCCCCACAGCAACAAAAAAACCAACTAGTTGCTGATAGTAGGATGATGAACAAATGCAGAGCCTTAGGCTATCTCAGGGTCAAATGCTGATATCAATACTCTAGTGAGAAGGAGCAAGAGACCAGAGTTGGGTCCGTGCAACCTGGGCAACTGTGCTGAGACCTTATAAATGGGGCTACTTGTGAGAAGGTGGGTAGAAGATGACATCTGCCTTTAACAGGAGACAGGGAGCTAACCTGTCTATCTCCATCTCACCTCTGGGCTGAAAAAAAAAACAACTCTCCTATACTATAGGATTTGGGAATGGAATTTAGTCTACCCACACTTACAGAGTAGGGGAAAGCTATATAAATAAAGTGGCCCGAAATGATGAGAACCTTCAGTTAGGGAAGAAGTAAATATAAATTTGCCCTGGAGGAAAAAAAAAAAAAACCATCATCTCATACCTGTCAGGATTCTCCCTGGTTACAATCAGCCTAGTATAAGCCCCCCAAAATTGCCAGACATATGAGGAAACAAAATATCACAGCTGAGAACAAGCAGAAACACCAGGCAATAGATTTTATCTTCCATAGTTTCAAATATCAGCATTATTAAATACATAATGCAAAATAACAAAGTATAAAATCTTTATTTTTTTAATTTTTTAAAGATTTTATTTATTTGTCAGAGAGAGAGAGTGTGTGTGCACAAGCAGGGGGAACAGCAGACAAAGAAGCAGTCTCCCTGATGAGCAAGGAGCCCGATGCAGGACTCGATCCCAGGACCCTGGGATCATGACCTGAGCTGAAGGCAGAAGCTTAACCGACTGAGCCACCCAGGTGACCTGGTGTAAAATCTTTAAAGAAGTAAAAATGGAATCAGACACTGAACGATATAGAAGAGACATTCAAAAGTGACCAGATAGATTTGAAAAATCAGTGAAGAGGTTAAACAGTAGATTAGACATAGCTGAAGAGAGAATTAGTGAACTAAAAGATAGATGTGGACAAATCAGGAACGAAATGGAAAGGATGAAAGATAGACTCACTAGGCATAAAGAACAGAGTAAAAAGACCTTCCATATTTTTAATTGGGTTTCTTGAATGAGAAAATGGGGAAGTGTCATAATTTCAAAATATACAATATCTGCAAATGTCCCAGGGTTTATGAAAGATATTAGTACCACTGATTTAATAAGTACCACATGTCTCAAGCAAGCTAAAACAAAGAAAACCTTTTGCTTAACACAAAAGAAAAATGGAAAGAACAGACATATCACCTATAAAGGAACAACAACTTAACTAACAACTGATTTCCCAATAGCAGCAACATAAACCAGAAGATGATGAAATAGTATCATCAACACATTGGAAAAAAAAGATAACTATAAATCAAAACCTCTATTTCAATTATTAGAGTAAAATGAAGACATTTCACAAAATCAAAAAATAGATTGCTGTGAACAGACATTACTAAAGAAATTTCTGAAAGTTGCATTTTTTTTTTTAGGTCAATGACTCCAGAAAGAAGGAAGGAAGGCCTGAAATGCAATAGGAAATGGGGAGCAAGGAAAATGGCAAACTTGGGTCAATCTAGACAAACAATAACTATAAAATCAATAACCATACTGTCTGACTTATAGGGTTAAAAAGCAGAACCAAAATGCTTGACAAAAATAACGTAGAGAGAGTAAAATCTAAATTAAAACAGCCAACTTTAGAAAATGTACCATGTAAATCTGAGCATTTACACATTTTACTACCCATTAAAAAATAATAACTATGGGTACCCACATCAAGGTGTATACATTTCATAATCATAAGTCGAGTTAGGGAAAAAAGTCACAAAGTATCACTTAAACTAAGTATAAAAACATGACAAATAAATTATTTGGGGATACATACTGAAGTGGAGGATTATAATGGAATATTCAGAATAGTCATATGATGGGAAGGGACACAAAGGTCCTTAAGGGTGTATTAATGTTTGTTAAATTAGAGGGTAGTTACTTATTCATTTTACTGCCCTTTAAATCATATTTATAAAACACTTTTATATATGTGAAATTGTTTGTTTTTAAAAGTAATAATAATAAAGTAATCTAAATCCTTATTTAGATTTGTAGATGCCAACTGCCCAGGCGGGATGCTCTGCACTGGGGACAGTGGCTGAGGGAATGGAAGCTGAATGAGTTGCCCCTTAGGAGCCCACTGCAGGGAACCTGAGGACCATGAATGCTCTGAACCATCTAGGAACATGACCATCCCAGCAAACAAATGTCCATGAGGCCGTGCAGGTCGTAAACTCAGCAGTGACCCCAAAATATCATGGTCAGAAGCACCAGTGCTGTTGGACAGAGCCTACTTCCCAAGTCTCTCACATCTAAAGGTTTGGAAGCAAAAACCCTGAGAAAACCCCCAAGGTTCTTGTGTAATGTAAGGGTAGTGGGTGGGGAGCCTAACTAATAAGGGCATTTAGGGACCCATGGGTTAACTGGAAAAAAATGAAGCCTTTGTGTGCCAAGCTGGTGCAGGCAGATGACTCTAGCCAGGTGCATTTGAGGTAGGGCTGGCTCTCTACAGCGCCTCTGCGCGGGCTTGGGCAGCAGCTGCAGCATGGCCAACCTTTCTTGGCTCCTCCTTGGCTGGGAAGGGCCACGTCGGGAAATGAGGGGTTAGGGCAGGTGGATAATTCAGAGCTAACAGAGGTTCCTCCTTTCCGCAATATCCAAATTGGAGCCATATATTATTCTTCACGGGAAAAAAAAAAGGACAAGTTCCTATTCTTGGGAGAATGGCCTAAAGCTGGTAATTTTAGCATTACGTATATATTCCCTTTTTAAGGCCTGAACAAACGCTACAAAATCAAGGATTTATTATTTTAATTGTAGTTGCTCTGGCTCACACTTTAGTGTTTGGCCTTTGTTGCAATCCATCCCGCACAGAGAGCATCTGCCATTTTTGCCTTCCAGAAGGATAGAGTCTCACAGGGACTTCTGAAATGCTAGCACTCTGTACCAGGGGTGGTGAGGTGCAGGACATAAGCAGAGCATGTGAGCCATCACCAGTTTGGATTCCTCTCTGCTGCCTGTATCACCACCCAAAGCAGAATCAGTCTCAGGCTTGCTGAATCTTAGGTCAGTTCTTTCCACGGTGGGTTGAGCGTGGGCTTGGAGAAGAAAACATAAGTCCGTTCTTACAGTCAGACTGATATTTATCAGGGTGTGGTCATGGCTGAAGGCAAAATGTTAGAGCCCCTGTCATTCAGCATAGAGCATGAACCATATTTATTTTTCCAAGAACAGGGTTAAAATCTCTCACCCAAAATTACCAAATTATATGAGACTTTTAATAAAGTTCTTGCTTCATCCTGATAAGACATGATTTATTCCACCCTATTTTCTAATTGTAAAATCCAGTGAAAGTGAACCTTGCAAATTACCACTTTAAACAATATAAAATGATCACTTTTTTTAAGAAGTATGCACTAAAAATCTTATTTCTCTGCTTTGAATATGGTGATGCACTTAAATACAGTATTTGTTAATGGTTTTCTTCTTCCTTGAATCATGGCCAAGAAGAATTTTTTTTCCCAGAAAGTTTTATTTTCTTCTTCAGATTTAGGTGAGAAAGTGCTCACCTGGGGAAGTGAATCACAGGGATGAAAAGTGCAGCCCAGGGAATAGAGAACATGGTATTGTAATAGCCAGGTGCGGTGACATGGTCGCTACACTGTGGTGAGCACAGAGTGACACAGAGAGTTGTGGAATCACTATGCTGTACATCTGAAGCTAATGTAACATGGTGTGTCAGCTATACTTCAAAAAAAGTAGGAAAAAAAGAAAGTGCTCACCATCTATGTGCATCAAGAACCCAGGTCTTTCAATGGAGCCTTGAAAAAGTGGCAGTGGATGAACTCAGCAAGCAGGGCTACTTCATCGCTGTTTCTGATCCGTATGCTGTGGATTTTGAGCTGAAGGTCACAAAGAAAGATATTGCTGGTGAGCTACTAGATCAATGTTTTAATCCCCTATTCAAAGGTTTCCTTTTTTTCTTCATAAGAAATCAACTATGACCATATATTGAATGCCAAGATAAGGACCAGGAATGGGATTTAGGGAAAGGAACTAATGGTGCCCCCTTAAAGATGTCAGAGTTATAAACAGACACCCATAGTCCGAGGGCAGACAAATGAGCCTTCTGAGCCACTGCCCAAGAGATAACCAGATGAGCTTACGAGCCTGAGAAGTTAGTCAACCTTACTAGACTCTACCAGTCCCATTTGGCCCCAAAATTTGTATTGGTTTTTGCTTTTCTCAAAGAGTCTTTCAATGTCTAGTATAGATATCTAAATAGAATAAGTGTACAAAATATTTTTGATTGATTACTGCAACATTATCTGATATCACTAGATAATAAGTCGTAAGTTACCAAAAACAATTATACTGAGAGGTTTTCTCACAGATATGCTCTTATACACCATCGTTCTTTCCCTCTCTTTTCCACCCAAACAATAGTAGGTTGAGAGACAGAGAGAGAGGTGGCAAGTAAAGATTAAAAACAATTAGGACACCAGGACAGATGCTAATTTTTCTTCCCTCAAGACAAATCAGTATTTGAAAACTTTTTTTTTAAAGCTTTATTTATTGCAGAGAGAGAGCATGAACATGGGGAAGGGCAGAGGGAGAGGGAGAGAGAATCTCAAGCAGACTCCATGCTGAGCATGGAGCCCGATGCAGGCCTCAGTCTCACAACCCTGAGATCATGACCTGAGCCGAAACGAAGAGTCAGTTGCTTAAGAGACTACACCACCCAGGTGCCCCAGTATTTGAAAACTCTTACATACACGGTAGCTTAGTGGTTTGATCTCCAACACTGTACAGATTGGCATCTGAGTCCCAGCTCTGCCACTAACCCCTGACATCAGGCAAGTCACCTATCTTCTCAGTGCCCCAGCTTCTTCATCTGTAAGACATAGATCACAGTGAGCTAATGGGGGTTATGCATATGATTTCAAAAATGTTTTTATGCCAAAGGCATTTAGTGTAGTATACTGCCTGACATGTAGTATGCTCGGGTTCAGGGTGGATAACTGTTATTGGAGCCCACATGCATGTTCAGGGAATAAATCAAAGTAGTCCTCCTTTCAGTCATGATGACACTCCAGCTCTCTAGTCTACAGGGAGGCAGTTCTGTGGACGCTTCTCTGTAACATCATGGGTCCTAGCCATCCTTGCTTTCCTCCCATTACTAGCGCCTGGGTTCAGGTCCTTATCACCTCTCACCTGGAATATCCCTCCTGGGACGGACGCACAAGTCATTCATATCTAAGGGTTCTCAGCCTCTTTTCCATAAAAGGCTCTCATCTTTATCCCCAAAGCTTTATACCAGCCTCCAAGCAGAGCAGGCTGCCAGGTGAGTGCCCAGGCTTGTGAGGCGCCAAGAGAGGAAATGGGAGGAAGGAGATAGGCCCCAGGGGCTGAGGGTGGGAAGAGCTGGCTTTGGAGTATGAGAAACTCCACAGTGGAGTCAAAAACTACTCACACAGTGTCTGTGAAGCTCCAAATGCTATTCTAAAAACTACAGATGCAAGAATGAGCAAGATAGAATCCCTGCTCTCCAGGCGCTCACCTTTAGGGAGTGTGGATTGCTGAAGAGAAAGAACTGCCAAGTTGTGTTGCTATTCCCTTTAGCAGTTTTGGAAGCACACGGAAAGATTGGAATTGCTTTTTATTGTTGTTTCTTAGAATATGAGACCCTCGGGTTTCATAAGGCTGGGCCACATGCTGCCCTGGAATTTTTTATGATTATATAGTCATCTCTGAACTGGTTGCCAGACCTCCCACCTTGCCCTTTTCTACATTGCTACCAAAGGTTGTCTCTAAAACACAAATCTGATCATGCTCTAAGTTAACCTTCCAGCTTAAACGCCTTCCATTGTTGCCCTTTGCTTCCAGAAGAAAGTGCAAGACTTTATTGATAGAGTCCTACCGACCCCTAGTCTGCTTTCTTGTCCCAGCTCCCTACACCTCCCGTGGCTGCCACAAACTCAGGCATAGCCCAGCCCTGGCACACACAGACCTCACACTCCAGCAGAGTGTTCTCAACACAAACGCTTTGCCCACAGTGATCTTGTTCCTGCCATCTCTTGGACTCTCCTCTCTGGAAAAGCGTAGTCATCCTTCAAAATTCCATTCAAGAATGCCCTGTCTGGGAAGTCTTCCTGACGCACCCTAAGTGGAGCTAATCTCTCCACCCTCCCAGACTTGCTGTACTACTTAAATACACATATTGCCTTGGGTTTTGATTATTAATTCTGAATGATTCTGGCTGAAATCTTGGTTTTCCAGGGTTGATTAGACAGGTATAACTGGTTGAGCAGGTAGCTCCTTTTTTCCCCACATTGTTCCATATATTTTGGCTCCTTTTACCCATTTGTTCCCCCTCACACACTGTGCACCTCATGAAAATGAGAACCAGGATTGGAAACCCCATGGTGCCCAGCACATACTAGAACTCCAAAGAATGAATGCATGTAGAATCAAAAAGAGACAGGAATATTCTAACCCTGTCTGCTGGGGATGATCTCTGATTTGCGTGAGCTGCCCGCTGAGCTCAGGAGTGAGAAGACCTAGGTGTGGCATATTTCTCCCCAAGATCTCTCTGCAGCCCCAGAGTCTACAAGTATGAGTTGAAGCAGGTGGAGCCTATAAGAAGAGGTCTCTGGTCAGAGATATGATTGAGGAGCAAGGGAAGATTCAGGAAGCCAATCTGGTGATATTTCAAGTTTGTTTTTTCTCTTATTTAATATGTTTAATATTTCTTTTTTTTTAAGATTTTATTTATTAGGGAGAGAGAGAGCACAAGCAGGGGAAGCAATAGGCAGAGGGAGAGGGAGAAGCAGACTCCCTGCTGAACAGAGAACCCAATGCGGGACTCGATCCCAGGACCCTGGGATCATGACCCGAGCCGAAGGCAGACACTTAACTGACTGAGCCACTCAGGCACCCCTAATATGTTTAATATTTTTTAATATCACATAAGCCAGGCATCTTCAGAATGCAGTGTAGTGTAAGTGCCACACATAGACTTAGCAAAGGGCACCAGGGAATGGCACTCACATCACACATCTGACTGCTGTAGCCAGAACTGCACGGAGCACAAATTGTAAATGCCGAGGCTCCAGGCTCAATATGGCTCGAGGGCCCTTTTTCCCCCGTGGTGGCTCCAGGATGTTCTCATGTCATCCCTGCTCCTTCTGTGGGCCAGGCTGCCGGCCAGCTTGGACCTGCCATTGCCAAGACAAGATTATCAAGGTCACTTAGCTTCACAACAAGCAATCCGCCTGACAAGTCTGGAGAATTGAAGGAAAATCCTCATTGTCTTTGTTTACCCTGATGATTGTCACATGCTCTTCTTTTGTTTGGTTTTAACATGGTTCACAAATTGATCGGGGGGCCTGAGTGAGTCAACACTTTCCCAAAGTATTGATTCTAATCACATGGCTTGGCCGGTTCTGAGTGGTGAAGCCAATAACTGTGTACCGCAGGGTCCTCAAGCATTGTGCGCCTATGCCTGCAGAAAGTGATTGGGGCTCTCAAGACCCTCTGGATCCACACTGACACAGAGTGAAGCTCCTAGACCTGACCATTTGATGCTCCCAAGTACTGTGGTCGCGACTGGAGTGGGCAGAGACAGGAGGCTGTGCATTTGCTTCCCTCTGGTGTCAGGTCCTGGAGTGAGCCTCCGGACTCTGTCCTCTTACACTAGATGAATGGGTGCCTTCCAGCTTCACTCCCAGATCATTCCTGGACACCTAGCCCAGAAGGTAAGCTCATTTTTTCATTGAACACTGACCATAACCATGGCTAAAGTTTATAGAATGCTTACTCGGTGTTGCACACCGAGCAACAGACTTTATAGAAGTGTGTCATTTAATCCGCACAACAAGTAGGTACCATTAGTAGTATTCCTGTAGAAGATGGGGGGGTGGGGGATCCATGCTGGAGAGAAAGGAAACAGCCTAGTTAATGAGTTTCGGAGCTGGGATCACAGCCCAGATCTGCTGCCAAAGAGTGCAGGCTCCTAACCTTTGTGCTGCACGGCCTTCCTCACTGCAGATGAACTCATATATGTTCAGATCCATGGCCCTCACCCGCAGAGGACCGTGCCTGGCATGCTCCCAGTATCAAAGCTGTAGGCTGGGCAGTGTGAACACTTAGGTGGAGGCCTCTGTGGGCATATGAAAACGTTTCATACAAGTATATAAACACAGTATAGGAACATCGCCTTTAGCATGGGTCAAAACCATAACGCTTTAGAACCTTACTCTGATCAAGTCCAGGATGATCGGCAACATATTATTCCAGGAATAGAAAAGGGAAAGACAGTTTTGTACTCTGTCATGGGCTCTCCCTTCACTGGACCTTTGATTTGTCCTGTGCTTGAGCAAAGAACAGACCTTACAGAGCCAGTGCCCAGCATAACTACCCACAGTCTTCCTTGAACGCCATATAAAGAGGCTTTTGCAAGGGGATCGCATTACTATGACCACATAGGACACGCCCCCCATAGGACGGGAGGAGGAAAATGGCCCAATTTATGTTAAACCTGTCTGATCTGCTTGGTGAAGGAGGTTGGCTGGATTGATTCTGAGTAATTATCATTCATGTTTAGATAGAATAAAGATGAGCTGTGTTCAGGGTTTCCCACCAAACTCAAGGGTTCATTGCTGTTTGGCTCACTGTGGCTCTTTGGTGTTGCCATGGCCAGGGCCCTCGGGGCTAGCTCAGCGCACCAGCTGTCCTCAAGGGCTGGTTGGACAGGATGCTTGCGAAAGATTTTCTTTCAATCTACCAAAATGCTGTGAATCTGGCTTCCTTCAGGTTTGTGCTCAGGAATACTTGGGCTAGAAGGTCCATGAAAATTTAGATTTCCTAAAGTATTTTTTTCATCTTATCAAGTTAAACCTCCAATCTATTAGATATGTTTATTTTTTATTCCATAAATGTTTATCAAGCAGTTATGTGCAATGCTGTACCTTAAGTGCCTACAGATGGGGAGAACACAGGCCGCATTCTAAATGAATTGTTAAACTAGAGCGGGCACAGACTTGTACACAAATAACTATGACACATGGCAAGGAATGTCACATTTGTCTCTGTCCCCGGAGGACACTGATTTGGATTTGACCTCCAGGGTTGTTATGAACCCTTCATGTTGGATGTCACTTCTACTCTTCACCCAATTATTACTTTTTCCGAGGATAAATTAGCCCTCTGTTGATTCACCACGAAAGGAGCAGCAGAGATGTCCACACAAGCAGGACCCCGGGGAGACTAGGGTCACTCCCTGTGGTCCCTGCAGGGATTTAAGCCCTGGGATTCTCTCGTACAGCTGTGAGTCCCTGCATCTGACCTTCCTCCACTTCCTGCCCCACCTGCC